ACACACACACACACACACACACACACACACATTTGTTGTATTGGTTTGAAGGACACATAATATACAATGATCAGTACAACACAGTATAATATTCAGATGTTACTGCACTGATTAGTAATGACATGTACAACTGAGTATATTGTGTATATTGAGTATATTGTGTATATTTGAGTATTTCTGTGTATATAGTGTATATTATAGTGTATATTTGAGTATATAGTAGCACACACACACACACACACACACACACCTCCCCCGCTCTCCTCGCTGTCTTCTCTGCCAGCTCCATGGCTTCTTTCCAGGCGTCGGCCATGTTGAAGTTCTTCTGGAGGAGAAACAGGAAGAGTCACTTTCCCCTTCAAAACAAAAGCTCAAAGGTGTTCCACCTCAGGAGGTTCATATCACAATATCTTTAATAATATCTTTCTGATGTTCTTCAAAGGTCCCATGTCATGCTGGTTATCACCCATCAGAGTCTGCAGAGTCTCTACCCCTCAGAGTGCACCCTGTAGAGAGTAAAGCTCTAACACAGAGAAGACCTGCTGCCCCTGAACGCCTCGCTGGGGATTTCTCTTTTTACATTGTTTGCTTCTGGGTATAGTGACGTGACACACACACACACACACACACACACACACACACACACACACACACACACACACACACACACACACACACACACACACACACACACACACACACACACACACACACACACACACACACACACACACACACACACACACACACACACACACACACACACACACACACACACAGCCTGGCTGTGAGTGTGTGTGTGTGAGTGTGTGTGTGTGTGTGCTTGGGCTGGTTTCGGGCTGGGTTTCTCTGTGTCTCGCTGTCTCTCAGACCCCCCGGAGCACCCAGGAAACGACCCCAGTAACCCAGCTCTCACTGTCCGCTCCTCGAGCCTCACAGGGCGGAGCAGCGAGCCCCCCAACGTCCCCCCAACACGGCACCCAGACCCCACGCAGCATTCCCCTCTGTTTGTCATTACTGGGGTCATTTTCTGGTTGCTAACAAACGCCATTGTAAAACATAATCTCTAATGTTCAGCTGTAACGCTGGTGGACCAATCAGAGCAGAGTGGGCGAGCTGACCAATCAGAGCACAGTGGGCTCACAGGGAGGGGGGGGGGGGCAGGAGCTCCAACAAGCCGTTTAGGACAGAGAGTGAATACACAGACTATACAGAGATGCTGTATGAGAAACCCTAACCCTAACCCATTTGAAGAAATCTCAAAACTGTCGCGTAGATGTCTTCACGGCTGGACTGTTAGCACACATGTGAATTTTGAGCACTTTTTGAAGAGAGAGAGAGAGAGAGAGAGAGAGAGAGAGAGAGAGAGAGAGAGAGAGAGAGAGAGAGAGAGAGAGAGAGAGAGAGAGAGAGAGAGAGAGAGAGAGAGAGAGAGAGAGAGAATGTGAACGTTTTGTGGAAGAACGATAACAGATATCTGTGAGATTTCAAAACGTGAAGCATGTGAAGGAAGTTGAGTATCTGAAGTGTAATTTTTGTGTACTTTCGGGTTAATAATGGGATGTATTATGGGATGTATCTCTGGAATTATGAAAGTTATGAATGATAAAAGTAATAGCCATCGATTCCCGACTGAGCTGAACGTTTTGATGTTTGAACGGAGTTTCTGCGATGTTGAATGTGGGAGGAGAAGTCGGACAAAATAATTGGACGGAATAATAATAAGAATTTTGTCTGTAGCATAACATTTAGTGGGAATGCTGTATCAGCATTCCCACTAAATGAGCAGTATACTCTGTTTACCCAGTGTTTCATGACATGAAACGTTTTATTTCACCTTGCTATGTGATTTTAACGTATATTAAAAAACGGGGACATTTCCGGGGACAGTTTCAACCGGGGACAGTTTCAACCGGGGACAGGCCAATAAAAACGGGGACGTCTGGTCGTCACCCTAGGTTAAGGCAGGGTTGCCAACTCTCACGCATCTGGCGTGTGACACACGCTTTCACTCTCAATCTCACGCTCTCACGCTGCCCAAACTATTCTCACGCCACAAACAAGAATACGAAGACTAGAAACGGTTTTGAAAACTTTTGTCACGTAGTGATCGTCTTCTCAATAGAACATCTTTGATAATGTCTTCTGGCCAATCAGAATCACGATAACGGCGTGGTGTTGTTGCAGGAAGTCCCAACGGAGAATGCTTTAGCGGTAGTATATCTCTATACATCGATACAACATTACGTGTTGATAGAAATCAACACGTAATGAAATAAGACCCCACGGTTTGATGATGGATAGGTGTGTGGGCTGTCTTTCATTTGGACACACAGAACAATGGGGGCTATCCACCCTTATCCACAATGTAAAGTAATTCAGCCTCTTCCCTCTTCTCTCTGTGAGGAGCAGCAGGTTCAGCTTTCAGAACAAAGTCACACAAAACTAAAATGGCATTCATTTTTTTAAATGTGTAGTAATAGATTTTTTTTTTTTTCTTCTCAAGAGAGTACCAGAATGTGTATTTTATGTTAGTATTTAAAAAGATCTCCTGGGGGAGAATCCCCCCAGACCCCCCTGCAGGGGTTGGGTCTTCAGCAGGTGAACTCTTTCACCTGTGGGGAAATTGCAGGATTGGCTCCAGGTCGCCCTTTTTATTTACTACAAGACAAATGTGCCTTTTTATTTCATACATTTCAATTTGGATTGAGAGAGACAGGGAAATAATCTAAACCTCACGCGTGGCGTTTCACTGTCGGGGCGAGCGTGTATGTAATTACATTGTGAATACTGACTTGAGCCCCACCACTGTATGGGTTAGCCTTGAGCCCCACCACTGTATGGGTTAGCCTTGAGCCCCACCACTGTATGGGTTAGCCTTGAGCCCCACCACTGTATGGGTTAGCCTTGAGCCCCACCACTGTATGGGTTAGCCTTGAGCCCCACCACTGTATGGGTTAGCCTTGAGCCCCACCACTGTATGGGTTAGCCTTGAGCCCCACCACTGTATGGGTTAGCCTTGAGCCCCACCACTGTATGGGTTAGCCTTGAGCCCCACCACTGTATGGGTTAGCCCTACCAGAGATTACCCAACACAAATACTCTGGAGCCGCCACTGCCGACCCGCATGGCGCATGCGCAGATCTGAGATCCAGTAGAAATGATAAAGTAAAAGTCTGCTGCTTATTGTTCTACTAGGCCGACATAGAGTCAAAGAGTATATGAGAGTGAGAGTGTGTTCATTAATATATTTGGCAGTTTGGAGTAAGTCTGTAGATGTGTGTGTGTGTGTGTGTGTGTGTGTGTGTGTGTGTGTGTGTGTGTGTGTGTGGTGTGTGTGTGGGTCTGTGGTTTCATGTATAGGCCTCTCACGATAATTCATTTTGTTTGATACATTTTCCCGGAGATTATTGCGATAATCGATAATATTGTCGGCACCGTTGTATGACCATTTTAGACCACTGACATAATGATAATATATAATAATAATTCAAGTACATCCTTTCAAACTGCTAGTCACATCCTCATGTCAATGGAAATGTATCGAGGTCAGAAAAGTTATCGAGTTCATTTTTATTTATCGTACGATAAGTCAATGAATTGCTTATCGCGACAGGCACACAATAAAACAGTGGAAACAAACATGTTTGACTTTCATTAGTGAATGAAACTGTGTGCCCTTTATAGTCTGTGTCCATTATTGTGTATTTGTATATATTGTATATATATGCTATATATATGCTAAGGTCTCGCTGCTGACACGATAGCAGTCATTTCGTGCATATGTGTAATTAAACCCATGATATCAAAGTCTCACTCCAGCCAGGTACCCAACGTTAGCAACCCTGGGTTAAGGACTAACACTAGTGATGGCAGTTTGACACTGAAGCTTTGAACGGAGCTTCAACCCTGGACTTCCTATTCCATAGAAGCAGTGATTCGAAGCTTGCTTCAAATCACGTGACATGTGACGTCCGAAGCAGCAACTGCTTCAAATCACGTGACATGTGACGTCCGAAGCAGCAACTGCTTCAAATCACGTGACATGTGACGTCCGAAGCAGCAACTGCTTCAAATCACGTGACATGTGACGTCCGAAGCAGCAACTGCTTCATTTCCTGAATGAATCACTTCGTCCAATCACGCGATTCAATGCACTGCCTCGTCTCTATTCTGACAGGTTGAAACAGTTTCGAATTTGAGCTCTTCAACACTTATAACCGCTCTAAACAATGCGCAATGTGTGGGTAGTTGTCGTAGTTTGCGTTGTTGCTGTTGGGTTGTTGTTGGTATTGCATTGGATCATTATAGAGCAAGCCAGGAAGAAAGATCGGTCGTTCTGAAACACTTGTGAGAACTTGTGAACAAAAAGACAATTAAGACTAATATAAAAAACATGTGTATAGCTTAAGGTATAGATAGCCCAGTGGTTAGAGCCGGCAGCCCGAAGTGGCGATGACCCCCCGCGCGCAGCTGGTTCGAAGCCCGGAACGGATGAACGTTAAATCATCAATCATCCTTTTCAACTTTAATACTTTATTAACTGATAAAAGGCGCTCTCCGCCCAAACTAAATTCCAGCACTCTCTAGTCTCAATAACATAATAATATTGAAATTTATTTTATTTGCAGATGACACTAATATTTTTTGTTCCGGTGACAATTTGAAAGAGCTAATGGAAGTGATAACAGCAGAAATGATTAAAGTAAAACATTGGTTTGACACAAACAAATTATCATTAAATATAAGCAAAACAAAGATTATGTTATTTGGAAAACATAAAACAAATCCACAGGTGCAATTAATACTAGACAACATAAACATAGAAAGAGTATATGAGATGAAGTTCCTTGGTTTGAGAGCACAGAATCAGCTGGAAACCTCATATCACTCATGTCAAAGCAAAACTGGCTAAGACTATCGCAATATTGGGAAAAGCCAGACACATTCTGGACTACAACTCATTGTATACTCTATATAACACACTCATATTGCCATATCTGATTTACTGTTTGGAGATTTGGGGAAACACGTACAAAACCAACCTACAGCCGTTATGCACATTACAAAAAAGGGCTATAAGAGTTATCAATAATGTTGGATATCTTGAACACACTAATGTATTATTTTTGAAGTCACACATATTGAAGTTCACTGATCTGGTTAAATTTAAAACGGCACAAATCATGTACAGAGCAAGACATAATCTACTTCCTAGGAAATTAAGAACATTGTTCATAGACCGAGAGGGTGGGTATCATTTGAGAGGAAATCTACATTTTAAACAACTCAAGGTCAGAACAACTCTGAGAAGTATGATAACAATCTGTGGGGTGATTTTATGGAATGGTTTGGAGCAGCAGTTAAAACAAAGCATAATTCAGTTTAAAAGGATGTACAGAAACACTTTTTTGGAAAACTATGAGAATGAAGAGAGGTGATTGAAGATGAGAAATGATTGTATATGTATGTATAAATGTAAATGTAAGTAGGAATAACTTGCACAATGACTTAAAGGACAATCATTGATCAAGTAAGGGGTGGGAATTAATAAGCATTTGCTTCATCCTACTCCCTTTCGGACACATATGATTTATTTTTATTTTTTAATTATTATTATTATTATTATTAATATGAAGATTTTTTTGTTGTTGAATATATAAATATTATCGTGAATGTGGATAAAAACTGTATTTTAACAATACGGTATTCTGTTTTTTCACATTTGTTATTTTGTATTTGTTATTTTTTAATCTGTTCGAAATAAAGATTGAAATGAAATGAATTAAATGAATAACCCAATACACACAATTATCAATCTTTAATTGCAAATAGAACATGATATTCAGTCTTAGTGAGTGTGTGCATCGAATATGTTTCAAGGCAAAGATCCGTTAAACCCACTGCAGCCTTGCACTTCGCCAGGAGAGGTCGCTGTAACTGAAGCTTCCAGAAATGAACCTATTTCCGACACAATTGTCCAAGTGGTTCGATGCTTCATTCAAAGCTTCATTTTGCCATCACTAACTAACACGTTTATCATAAATACATTTATATTTCTTTTTAAAATATGACGGATTAATACGGGAGGGGGGGGGGGGGGGCAATACGTTTCAGTTTCAACCTCATGCAGAATGTTTCTCTGTTGTCCCGTTCATAAAGAGCAAAACAACTCCATTTTGATTTCTCCTCTACCCCTTAACACCGTGACGTCACACAGAGGAGAGGGAGACACGAGAGGAGAAGATTTCTGGACAATTCCCCGCGACCCGTAGCTCACCTGTGAAGCTGCAGGTAATCCTCTTCTTCCTCCTATTCCTCTTCTTCCTCCTCTTCTTCCTCTTCTGCTACTGCTTCTTCTTGTTACGGTCTAATGGCGGGTGGCAGCGTTTAAAGGAGCATTACCGCCCCCTGCTGATGGGAGTGTGGAGCACAATGATCAGGTGGACCTCCAGGCTGGTTCACATCGGTTCACACGTACCAGGAGTTTGACTTGGTGTCGTGGTGCAGACATACAATAAGACAAACTATAATAACATTACAAAATAAGGAAAAATATAGTAAAATAAAATAAAGCAGTATTTACATTGAATCGATATGAAATGATCTTCATTAGTTCAGTTAGATAATATAGAAGTGTCCCTGATCCATGTTCGACGTCCGCTGGCTCATCAGAGGGATCCTATTAGAGATGTGTGTGTGAGAGCTGCTGTTTCTGCTCTGAGACCCCCCCTCCAGACCTGCACCTGGTTCCAATTCACTGAGACCCCCCCCCCCCTCCAGACCTGCATCTGGTTCCAATTCACTGAGACCCCCCCTCTCCAGACCGGCACCTGATTCCAATTCATTGAGACCCCCCCTCTCCAGACCTGCACCTGATTTCAATTCACTGAGACCCCCCCTCTCCAGACCGGCACCTGATTCCAATTCATTGAGACCCCCCCTCCAGACCTGCACCTGATTTCAATTCACTGAGACCCCCCCTCTCCAGACCTGCACCTGATCTCCAGACCGGCACCTGATTCCAATTCATTGAGACCCCCCCTCCAGACCTGCACCTGATTTCAATTAATTGAGACCCCCCCCCCTGTCACTCCACCACAACCTGCCCCCCCCCCCAAATAATGAAACAGCCTCTCCTCTTCATTAACCCCTCAATAGAGTGCCACAGTGACGCGTCCTAAAACCCGGAAGTAAGTTAGCATTTGACCACTTCCGGTTCCTTGGACAAAAAGCAAAGCAATCTCTCCATAGGGTTTAGGGAAACATCTGGAGTAAGGTCTGAGGTTCAGACAAAGAGACGGGTCACGGTTTGTTCTAGGACATTAAATCCATCAGCAGTGACCCCACTGGGGATTTCTGAAGAGTTGACGTGTCTGAGAAACGATGGTTGTTACCAAGTGGCTGAATAGGACTACAGAAGTCGAGGAGGACGTTGTACGTCAATGAATCAAAGTAAATATAGAAGTCGTCATGAACACATCTGTCCATCAGACAGTGGGTGTTCCTCAATGTGGAGTACGCTTGCTTGGTAGCACATGTCTGCCGAGCGTCTTGCTTCAGAAGCGAGTCAAGAATACTTCCTGGCATTTGGAAAACAAAGAGTGGAACAGGCTAGCAAGTGTGCAGGTGTGCGTCATATGAGAGGCCCCGCCTCCTTACATCTTCCACCACAGATTTGGGGAAATTGGTCCGTGCGCAAAGCATTGTGGGGATTTTAAGACCGCGAAGTCTACTCATGTGCAGCCTCGATATTTCTCCAAACGGAGTACGCCGGGCTCGGTAGATTTCCAAGTATGCTGGAGATTGGAACAGTACTTCGGCGGCACTCGATGACGCAGTATGCTTGAAATAGTGGCTCTGAAGCAGCTTTACTCGAGATTGCCTCCTGTCATCATTAATGGACGTCTCTTTAAAATGACCGCTCAGAGGAGAGGAGTTCTCATTTCTCTAACCGCCTGCTGCTTCCCCTCCTCTCTCCTCGGCTCCCCTCCTCTCTCCTCGGCTCCTCTGCTCGCATCTCCTGTGGGCGGGACTAAGTCTCGAGGATAGGAGTCGAGGAGGGGAGTTAGTGAAATGAGAAAGGGCCCAGGTGAACACTGCAGGTGAACACTGCCCCCTGCAGGTGAACACTGCACACTGCCCCTTCAGGTGAACACTGCACACTGCCCCTTCAGGTGAACACTGGACACTGCAGGTGAACACTGCAGGTGAACACTGCACACTGCCCCTTCAGGTGAACACTGCCCCCTGCAGGTGAACACTGGACACTGCAGGTGAACACTGGACACTGCAGGTGAACACTGCCCCCTGCAGGTGAACACTGCCCCCTGCAGGTGAACACTGCCCCCTGCAGGTGAACACTGGACACTGCAGGTGAACACTGGACACTGCAGGTGAACACTGCACACTGCCCCTGCAGGTGAACACTGGACACTGCAGGTGAACACTGCAGGTGAACACTGCACACTGCCCCTTCAGGTGAACACTGGACACTGCAGGTGAACACTGCAGGTGTTGAGTGTTCACCTGTCTGTCAAACCCACTCCTCAAATTCAGAATAAGAAACACTTTGAAGATTCATTTAGTCATTTTTATTCATAAGGCCAAAATCACAGCATCGGTCCGTCGTTAACAGCTGACAGGTGATCATTACCTGTACATGTTTACATCAGGTGATCATTACCTGTACATGTTTACATCAGGTGATCATTACCTGTACATGTTTACATCAGGTGATCATTACCTGTACATGTTTACATCAGGTGATCATTACCTGTACATGTTTACATCAGGTGATCATTACCTGTACATGTTTACATCAGGTGATCATTACCTGTACATGTTTACATCAGGTCACAGGTGATCATTACCTGTACATGTTTACATCAGGTGATCATTACCTGTACACGTTTACATCAGGTGATCATTACCTGTACACGTTTACATCAGGTGACAGGTGATCATTACCTGTACATGTTTACATCAGGTCACAGGTGTATCACTGATCATTTTCAGGAACGATTAATGTATTTCTTCAGTTTTAGCACTTCCTGTCAGCTGACCTACACCCCCTTCACACCTGCAGCTCCGCAGACACACCTGGTTGGATCCTCGTCGTCACGGCGACAGGGGAACGCCTGGACCACCTGAGCGATGCTATTGGCCACCGAGGTGGAGCTGGCTGCGATCACTCTGCGTGACATCATGTCGAAGTCTGAGCCTGAGGAGAGACACGGACCAATGAGAGGAGGACACAGGGACCAATGAGAGGAGAGACACGGACCAATGAGAAGAGAGACATGGACCAATCACAGGAGAGACACGGACCAATCAGAAACTAAACTAAACACAGGGACCAATGAGAGGAGAGACACGGACCAGGACCAATGAGAGGAGGACACACGGAACAATGAGAGGAGGACACAGGGACCAATGAGAGGAGAGACACGGACCAATGAGAAGAGAGACATGGACCAATCACAGGAGAGACACGGACCAATCAGAAACTAAACTAAACACAGGGACCAATGAGAGGAGAGACACGGACCAGGACCAATGAGAGGAGGACACACGGAACAATGAGAGGAGGACACACGGACCAATGAGAGGAGGACACAGGGACCAATCAGAGAAGGACACGCCCCCACAGGTACACACAGACCAATGAGAGGAGGACACGCCCCGACAGGTACACACAGAATACACACCATCAGTATCCATGACGACGCCCCCCGCCTCCTGCACGATGATGGCGGAGGCGGCGATGTCCCAGCAGTGCATCCCGATGTGATAGTAGGCGTCAGCGCCGCCCGTCGCCACCTGACACATGTCGACTGCCGCCGTGCCCAGCGCACGCACCCTGCATCAACAACAACAACAACATGTTAATGAGACCACAACAACAACACCACAACAACACGTCAATGAGACGACAACAGCACGGCAGAGACACAACAACAACACACACTGACCCATGGACGGGCAGCTGCAGCAGCCGGAGGATGTTGGAGGTCATGGTGGACAGAGCGAGGTCATCACGCTCCGCCCCGATCTCCGTCACCACCACACACTTGCTGACGTCTGATTGGACGACACACAACAGTCACAAGCATGACAATTGACACGGCTTGGTTCCTCGTCACAAAAACAACAACAACAAACCCCCCCAGAAACACTGTGTTTGTTTCTGAGTTCAGAAAACTGCTGAGTCAGCGTCACAGGTGTGTGATGTTACAGGTGTGTGATGTCACAGGTGTGTGATGTTACAGGTGTGTGCTGTCACAGGTGTGTGATGTCACAGGTGTGTGATGTCACAGGTGTGTGATGTCACAGGTGTGTGTATGTCACAGGTGTGTGATGTCACAGGTGTGTGTATGTCACAGGTGTGTGATGTCACAGGTGTGTGATATCACAGGTGTGTGTATGTCACAGGTGTGTGATGTCACAGGTGTGTGATGTTACAGGTGTGTGATGTCACAGGTGTGTGATGTCACAGGTGTGTGTATGTCACAGGTGTGTGATGTCACAGGTGTGTGTATGTCACAGGTGTGTGATGTCACAGGTGTGTGATGTCACAGGTGTGTACATTCTATAATGCTTCTTACAGTGCAGACGCTTTTCTGCTTGCTCTTGCCTCTGCTTACTTTTTATGCTGATTTTCCTATTCTTATTCTCTGAACACTTCGAGCAGCGGCTCCTGGACATTAACTTATCACTGGGACAGTTATTCATCGTAAATAGACGGAGGGTTTCAGCCATATTTCAACATTTTTACGACGACCTCAGTCTTACAGTAGCGTGGCCTAGCAACAGCTAAAGCCTGGTAGGCTACTGCATGCTATTTAGCTTAAGCTAGTTGGTAGCAAAATGCCTCCGTTCTCTACAGATGACTTCCACAAACTTCAACAGAAGATGGCTGTGTTGGAAATGAAAATGCCACGGTTGGAAGTTAACGTGGAAGTGAATGGACTATGTTGTGGGAATAACACCACTTTACCAGTGTTGCAAGATAATGGAAAAGGGTATGCTAACTCACAGCTAGTTAGCAGCTACAAGGTTTCCAAGGAACAGGAGGGCTGTGTACTGGGTAATAAATCTACAAGTGGTAGTCCTCCCTGGAACTCTCTGGGTGCAAAGCCTAAGAGTAAATCATTTCCATGGGATTTGGGAGGACGAATAACAGGCAGAGCCCAGCGCTCTGAAATCTGTGATGCGACCGGCTGGCCTGCATTGTTATCACCCAGGAAGAGTGCCTCTTCAACCCCTATTCATACTAGGAAACAGCCGTGGACAGCTGCTAAAGGGAGAACTACAAACAATCCTCCTAAACCACCAAGTGTGCCAATCCAGAACAGATACGCTCCGCTGACCGAGAACCGGAGATCTCTTTCTGATGACCTGGATAACCTGTCCTCTTCACACAGCAGGGTAAGGACCAATAGCTACTCCAAAAGTAAAAGGCTAGAGGGAAAGCTAACGACTGGGCCTGAAACTGTGATTGTGGGTGACTCTGCTGTAAGAGATGTAAAAGGTCTGTGTAGTAAGAACAACACCAAAGTACTCTGTTTTCCCAAGGATATGGTCTCCGACTTGGCTGAGAAGATCCTGCATATTGGGGCTGAACATCCGACTGTGAAGAATGTGGTACTACATATTGGAACAAATGATGTTGTGAAACAACAGTCAGAAGCGCTGAAAGAAGACTTTAAATGTCTGTTGGAAACTGTCAGCTCTCTAAATGCGGAGGTGTTCATCAGTGGCCCTCTACCGCCAGTCAGAAGAGGAGTGGAGAGATTCAGCAGACTGTTTGCATTGAACATGTGGCTTTCAGCTGCCTGCACTGACCATTCTGTCCATTTTATTGACAATTTTAACTTTTTCTGGGATCGCAGACATCTTTTTAAGGCAGATGGAGTTTGCCTGAACAAGTCAGGAGTGAAATTGTTTATCTCTAACATATTCAACTGCCTGCGTCAGCAATCTGTTCCCTCTGCCAAGGACAAGCGGCAAGAGGAATCAAAACAGGAGAAAGACACAACACATTGCGCAGAAAACCCTGAAGAAGTATCACTGCACCCGCCTGAGGAATGTTCTGATTATGGGAGACCTATGACACAAATGGAGGAGTCTCCACTGCCCGTCACCCCCCCTGTCAACGCCTTGGAGGATACTCTTCATTCATCTCCCAGCTCTCTCTACTCTCCGCTCACCCTTTCACCCTCGCCCTCCCCCCTGGAGTTCGATGACCGCATGAAGGCGAGATGCAGGGTTGGCAGCATGTCCTTTACCCCCGCCCCTCAACGACGCCCACCAAAATCACCGAAGCAGAGACGCGCACCATCTCCCCCGTCTTCATCACTGTGCCTATGTCAACCACCTCCCATCCCTTCAAGAAAGCATCTGCAGTCTCCGAAGCCTGATAAGGATGTGTGTGTACAAAACGCAACAAACTTTTACTGATATGTGCTGGGTCCAGGCTCAAGGGCATATGGCACTCTCAACTCTTTCCAGCACATGCCGGGGCCCTGCCTGCCAGTAGCCATCAGCTTAGAAACAGGAAGCGCTCAAACGTTTGTGTGAGGTTATCAAATTTAGCAGTGATTCCATGTCAGCCACAGCTTGTCACAAATTTTTTTACTGATAGTGTATTTAACAAACTTAAACTAGCTTTATTAAATGTCAGGTCTTTGGCAGGAAAAACATTTTTAATCAATGATTTTATCACTGAGCACAATCTGGATTTTATGTTTTTAACAGAAACTTGGATTGAACAAAATAACAGTGCAGCTGTTCTTATCGAATCAACGCCTCCCAACTTTAGTTTTATGAGTCAGGAAAGAAAGCATAAGAAAGGGGGTGGAGTTGCTATTCTGTTCAATGATTCCATTCAATGCAGGAAGACATCTTATGGGGACTTTGCTTCTTTTGAATATGTGGCCCTTCAGCTGAAATGCTCCTCTCGAGCTCTGTTCCTAAATATCTATAGACCACCCAAATACTGTGCAAGCTTCTCTGATGACTTGACTGAACTGCTGTCTATAGTGTGTATTGACTTTGACCGTCTAGTCATTGTTGGTGATTTTAACATCCATGTTGACAACCCCCAGGACAGAGGGGCTAAATAACTGTGTTCTTGATAACTATGGACTGACTCAGCATGTGGCGGAGCCCACGCACAATAAGGGGCTCACTCTGGACTTAATGATCTCAAAGGGTCTGAATATCTCTGAGGTTGTGGTGACTGATGTTGCACTCTCTGATCATTCCTGTGTTTTCTTTGAGAGCTCTATTTCTGTTCACACAAATGTTCAGAAAGAGGTAACCACAAAGCGATATTTAACTGAAAACACTAGGGAAATGTTTACTCAGAACGTTTCATCCACACTCTCCCCTGCTAACATCTCAGTAAATGAGCTAGTAGATCATTTTAATTCAAAAATTAAAAATGTTATAGATACCATTGCTCCAACTAAGGTAAAGGAAGTGATTAGCAAGAAAATATCTCCATGGAGAAAGGCCATGACCGTGAGAACAGAAAAAAGAGAGTGTCGAAAAGCTGAACGTAGGTGGCGAAAAACAAATCTCCAGGTTCACTTTGAAATCTATAAAGAGAGACTTGGCCTTTATAATTTGGAATTGAAAAACGCACGACAGTCTTTCTTCTCTGACATCATTACCAAAAACAAAAACAACGCACGTGCCTTGTTTGCTACCGTCGACAGACTAACTAACCCCCCAGTGTCAGTAGCATCTGAATTTCTATCCACCAGGGCGTGCAATGACTTTGCCTTCTTCACTGACAACATTCAGAACATCAGACAAGCAGTCAGTGCCTCTGCATCAGGTACAGAAAATGTGTTGTCCCTAAGTCCACCTAATATCAATTCAAACACCATGACACAGTTCCATCAGATTAATGATAAAAACCTACAGGACATTATTCAACTTCTGAAATCCTCCTCCTGCTGCCTTGATATTATTCCAACAGGATTTTTCAAAGATGTTTTTCCTTGCATGGCCTCAGATCTACTTCATATAGTAAACACATCTCTTCACTCAGGTATTTTTCCAGAGGCCCTGAAAACTGCAGTCATTAAACCGCTCTTAAAAAAGAATAATCTAGATGCCTCAGTAATGAACAATTACAGGCCAATATCAAACCTGCCATTTCGAGGTAAAATCATTGAAAAAGTAGTATTTCAACAGTTGAGTAACTTCTTGCATTTAAATAACTGTTTGGATGTGTTCCAGTCAGGATTTCGTCCAAACCACAGCACTGAGACTGCTCTTGTAAAGGTCTTCAATGACATCCACTTAAACACAGACAGTGGCAGAACTTCAATGTTAGTATTATTAGATCTCAGTGCTGCGTTTGACACTGTTGACCACAACATATTACTAGACCGACTAGAAAACTGGGTGGGACTTTCGGCAACAGTTCTAAATTGGTTTGAGTCCTACTTAAAGGACAGAAAAAACTTTATTTCTATAGGTAAATACACATCTGAGTTGACAAATATGACATGTGGGGTACCTCAAGGCTCCATCTTGGGGCCTCTTCTCTTTAACATCTACATGCTACCACTGGCTCAGATAATGAAAAACAACAAAATAAGTTACCATAGCTATGCGGATGACACACAAATTTACGTAACAATTTCACCAGGAGATTATGCTCCAATTCAAACACTGATTAGGTTCATTGAACAAATCAATGACTGGATGTGTCAGAACTTTCTCCAATTAAACAAAGATAAAACTGAGGTAATGGTTTTTGGAGCCAAGGCAGAACGTATAAAAGTTAGCGCTGAGCTTCAGTCTGCAATGTTCAAAACAACAGATACAGCCAGAAATCTAGGTGTAGTCATGGACTCTGACCTGAGTTTCAACAGTCACATTAAAACAGTTACTAAATCAGCCTACTATCACCTAAAGAACATATCTAGGATTAAAGGACTAATGTCACAGCAGGATCTGGAAAAACTTGTCCATGCTTTTATCTTCAGTAGACTCGACTACTGCAATGGTGTCTTTACAGGCCTCACTAAAAAATCTATTAGAAAGCTGCAGCTAATTCAGAACGCCGCTGCTCGAGTCCTCACTAACACTAAGAAAGTGGATCAGTCCTGTTCTGAAGTCCTTACACTGGTTCCTCACTAACACTAAGAAAGTGGATCACATCACTCCTGTTCTGAAGTCTTTACACTGGCTTCCTGTGTGTCAAAGAATAGATTTCAAAATACTGCTGCTGGTTTATAAAGCTTTGAATGGTTTAGGCCCAAAATACATGTCTGACCTACTGCTAAATTATGAACCATCCAGAACCCTCAGGTCTTCAGGGACTGGTCAGCTTTCTGTCCCCAGAGTCAGAACTAAACATGGTAAAGCAGCATTCAGTTATTATGCTCCGAATATCTGGAACAAACTCCCAGAAACCTGCAGGTCCGCTGCAACTCTTACTACTTTTAAATCCAGGCTGCAGACTTTTCTTTTTGCCGCTGCTTTTAATTGAACTATTCACATCTTAAACTGAACTGTAACTTTTAACTTTTATCCATGTATTTTTTCTTTTAATGTTTATTTTATTATCTTTCCTTTTTAATGACTGATTTTAAATGCCATTTTTAAAATGTCTTCCATTTTTGTAAAGCACTTTGAATTACCTTGTGTTGAAAGGTGCTATATAAATAAACTTGCCTTGCCTTGATGTTACAGGTGTGTGATGTTACAGGTGTGTGATGTCACAGGTGTGTGATGTTACAGGTGTGTGATGTTACAGGTGTGTGATGTCACAGGTGTGTGATGTCACAGGTGTGTGATGTCACAGGTGTGTGATGTCACAGGTGTGTGATGTTACAGGTGTGTGATGTCACAGGTGTGTGATGTTACAGGTGTGTATGTCACAGGTGTGTATGTCACAGGTGTGTGATGTCACAGGTGTGTGTATGTCACAGGTTTGTATGTCACAGGTGTGTATGTCACAGGTGTGTATGTCACAGGTGTGTGATGTTACAGGTGTGTATGTCACAGGTGTGTATGTCACAGGTGTGTATGTCACAGATGTGTGATGTCACAGGTGTGTGATGTCACAGGTGTGTGATGTTACAGGTGTGTGATGTCACAGGTGTGTGATGTCACAGGTGTGTGATGTCACAGGTGTGTGATGTCACAGGTGTGTGATGTCACAGGTGTGTGTATGTCACAGGTGTGTGATGTCACAGGTGTGTGTATGTCACAGGTGTGTGATGTCACAGGTGTGTGTATGTCACAGGTGTGTGATGTCACAGGTGTGTGATGTCACAGGTGTGTGTATGTCACAGGTGTGTGATGTCACAGGTGTGTGATGTCACAGGTGTGTGATGTCACAGGTGTGTGATGTCACAGGTGTGTGATGTTACAGGTGTGTGATGTCACAGGTGTGTGATGTCACAGGTGTGTGATGTCACAGGTGTGTGATGTTACAGGTGTGTGATGTTACAGGTGTGTGATGTAACAGGTGTGTGATGTCACAGGTGTGTGATGTTACAGGTGTGTGATGTTACAGGTGTGTGATGTCACAGGTGTGTGATGTTACAGGTGTGTGATGTCACAGGTGTGTGATGTTACAGGTGTGTGATGTCACAGGTGTGTGATGTCACAGGTGTGTGATGTTACAGGTGTGTGTATGTCACAGGTGTGTGTATGTCACAGGTGTGTGTATGTCACAGGTGTGTATGTCACAGGTGTGTATGTCACAGGTGTGTGATGTCACAGGTGTGTGATGTCACAGGTGTGTATGTCACAGGTGTGTATGTCACAGGTGTGTATGTCACAGATGTGTGATGTCACAGGTGTGTGATGTCACAGGTGTGTGATGTTACAGGTGTGTATGTCACAGGTGTGTATGTCACAGATGTGTGATGTTACAGGTGTGTGATGTCACAGGTGTGTGATGTTACAGGTGTGTGATGTCACAGGTGTGTGATGTTACAGGTGTGTGATGTCACAGGTGTGTGATGTCACAGGTGTGTGATGTTACAGGTGTGTATGTCACAGGTGTGTATGTCACAGGTGTGTGATGTCACAGGTGTGTGATGTTACAGGTGTGTGATGTCACAGGTGTGTGATGTCACAGGTGTGTGATGTCACAGGTGTGTATGTCACAGGTGTGTATGTCACAGGTGTGTGATGTTACAGGTGTGTGATGTTACAGGTGTGTATGTCACAGGTGTGTATGTCACAGGTGTGTGATGTCACAGGTGTGTGATGTTACAGGTGTGTATGTCACAGGTGTGTATGTCACAGGTGTGTATGTCACAGGTGTGTATGTCACAGATGTGTGATGTCACAGGTGTGTGATGTTACAGGTGTGTGATGTCACAGGTGTGTGATGTTACAGGTGTGTGATGTCACAGGTGTGTGATGTTACAGGTGTGTGATGTCACAGGTGTGTGATGTCACAGGTGTGTGATGTTACAGGTGTGTATGTCACAGGTGTGTATGTCACAGATGTGTGATG